TCCTTTGTCTTGAGATCCCTGGCTCCAAACTTACTGATGGTTCTACATCTGCATTTGTATAGGCCTAGCCACTGGTTTGGGCAAAGAGATGAGGCAAGGTTTGGTTTCTGCTTTTCAAAAAATGCTTTTAAAAATCCTTTTGGTGAAAAATATTGTTTCCTTTTTAATATTTCCTTCTCTGGGGCTTTGACTTCCCACACTACCATTAAAATTATAGACTGATCATTTCTTTGTCAGTGGACAAACGTACAAAATCAGCAGGGGATCAAATACTTTCTTGCCTCACTGTAATATCCTTCGATGCAGTATTGCAGGGTCAACATTAGCTTACTTTTTTAAAAGTGCAAAACCAAGTTAGGAGCCAGGAATGGAGATCTTTTATCACCTGTGGGCTAGTTTTACAATAATTTTTACTTTAAACAAAGGAATTCTGAAACTGGGTTGTTTCTCCCACTTGTACCAGGGGCAGGACTGAACATTTTGTGATAATCCTTTTTAATTATCCAAGATGGAACATCTTTCAGTTCTTGGCTAGCTCAGATTTTTCAGAGTACCAAATTTTCACTTTAAACTCAATTTTGCAAACAGAATTTACACAGCAGTAAATTCACCAGATGAAACATTCCAAAGGAGCGGCATGAATGCGCTACTGAAAAAGCCCCCCCCCTTTCCCCAATACATATTACTGTGGCTCACTAGCACTATAGAAGATGTTTTCAAGTTGGTATTTTCTTGTAGACTCCACATCATAATCAGCAGTGCTACACTGTACCAGGCTGGTTGAAAGCCTGAGCTGCACTTGTACAGTAATTAAGGGTAAGGCAATTATTTAACTCTGTGAGTAGATACTAATTGTGTCAGTATGATTTTTGATTACCAAAACTACCATTCCATCTACCATTGATTAGCTAGATAATTTCAACAGCCCTTTTGTGGGAGCTAAGTACAATAGAAGTATTGTACCACATACTACACAAATTGTTTCCTTAGTGCTACCTTAAGACAATGCAGTCTACCCCATAACATTGTCTGCCTAATGCTTAAACTCAAGCTTATGAGGCCCCTTTGCTGCATATCCCTTTATATAATCCTCACAAGAAGCGTTTCAATATTATAGATGGCACATGGACCCTGCAACCATGTCTCGTATTTATGAGAATTATGAATCCAAGTGTTGGAGGTGTGGACAACAAGATGCAACTTTTTTTCATATGTGGTGGACTTGCAAGGTTATTAAGGCCTTTTGGATAAAATTGTGGTGGAACTTACAGCAAATTTTTAAAAGAAGAATTATTTTTTTGCCTCAGTTG